ATACATAGATACAAGATACATAGGGACACCATGACATAACAACAAGAATAAACACTTACCGGGATGCCTTTTGATGTTTTAACTTCATCAATCAATAAGCATAATTTCTGGGACCATTCTGTTTTGTCTGTATATGCTAGTATGGGAACATATTTTATCATTTGACATATCTCGTGTCATGTGTATCACATGCAGATGATGTGTAGATACTCAATCGAATCCAACGACATCATCAGTACTGAACGACTGGATGACCAGCAGTATTTGACTGTTAAACTCTAAAAAACAGAGATCCAGGTGATTGGAGCTAAACTCTCATCAACAAATATAGCCATGCCTTGTTTGTGTGTGTGTGTGTTGGTGTTATTTAGATTTTTTGTCTTTTTTTACCAGGCTAACATTTTTACATGCTAAGATTTTTACATGTTACACTGTTTTGGTAGAAGGTGCGATTTCGCAAGAGTTGTGTCTGAGTGTCAGAAACATAGTGGTGCTGAACAGGATAGAGTTGAGGTTTCCGAATCGATATTGCAGGTAGTATTAATTGATTTATTACTTGTGGGTTTTGCACACTCCCTTTCACTCACTCTCTTTCTGCTCTCTCTCTCTGCCGTCTGTAGCTCAGGCTTCACAATGTGGTAACTATAGTGAAGTGCTTTGCCTAGCCACAATAAGCATAGTCTTTTATGCTAAAATCACAGTCATTTATTTCAAATGTTAAATTTTGCAAGATGTGTGGTGCAGGTAACAGTTAACCAACCGTTATCTAATTTCTTAATATCAACATTTTATGGAAAAGAGAGTGCCCCTAAGGTTATATCTCTAGTACAATTTCAGTCTATATATTAGTTGTTTATTAGATCACAAAAGTTAAGTTAGCAGAGCGGATTCTGTTTGCCACATTTTCCCAATGGCTATACCTGTTTTATTTGTGACTAGAGACAAAGCTATTGCAGCTATTGGAGTAGCAGTTACATATTGCCCAGCTTAAATTTCAGAACATGAATAATGCACACTCACATGCAGACTCAAATTTATGTTGCTGAAATATAGGTTTCAGAAGAGTGTTTATGTAAGAGCTTTAGCTTATATTATGGTTGTGTTTACTTTAGTATAATAACTAGCACTGGCTTTTAGGATGACCTTTTGTAAAAGGTAATAATGGTGGAATGCTACAATACCTAGCATATGTGAATTGCTTATTATAATAAAAGGCCTAGCCTCTCCCCCCGGGCATGACATTAGAAGTTCAATAAATACCTCTCTGATGAAAGAGGTCCTATTTAATATTCTAGCACATTTTTCAGCATCAAAATGTTATGTGAATCAGTAAAATATCATTCTTCAATCTCTTAGTTTTCCTTAACTGAAGTTCAATATGTGATATTTATAAAAACGATCTGTACTTAATATTTCACCCCTATTTTGCTCTTGTCTTTGCAGAAATGTATGAAATTCAATGTGGATGCTCCTATCTGGCTGTCCAAGCAGCGGATCCTGTGTACTCTCAACCAGAGCCTGAAGGATGTACTCAACTATGGCCTATTCCAGCCTGCTTACAACGGCAAAGCTGGCAAGTTTCTGGATGAAGAGAGACAGCTAAGGGAATACCCCTTCCCATCTATTGCTCCTGTACCTTACCTGGAGGTAGGTAGGAATCATGTGTATGTATGAGGGTTGTATGAGACATGTATGAGTGTTAGCAGGAAAGAGCAAGCAGTGGAAAGAGAGGTGATACATGCCACAACACCATACATGATCGCGTTACAGTCGCCATCCTGTGCAGTATTTATCACGTTAGTATGCGATTTCGAAGACAGCCTTACTTAACACATGGTGCCTGTTGTACACAGCATGTGGTTGTGGGTATGTGCTTCATTGTGCACGCAGTGTGTGCTTTTTCTGTCACGATGTGTCAGTCAAACCGGCAGCAATAATACCACACTCAATGACAGTGTGTTGTCTGCAGCGGCTGTCATCTCTTGAAGATAATTATTGTGCTTGTCCATCATGGTTTTTGATCTGAGAAAAACACAGGCGTAATATGATTTGTTGCTTTAGACAATAATGCAGAGATGTAAGGTGGTTTCCTGACTGGCCATCTTTGTTTTCACTAGTTTTATGATGTGTCAAGAGACTGAGAACATAATAAAGATTTATTTTCCTCCTTGAGCCTTAGTTTAATAACCTGGCTCTTCCAGATGGTTTGTTACACTGAACCATCTGGGAAGGCGATGTTGGAAACTGTGCAGGGCAGGCACTCAAAAATACTCAACAGGTGATTGGATGTCTATCACCGTCTATCTCGGGCGAACTTCAAACAATCGTGTAAACAGATCATATAACGTAGTCAAACTCTTGCTGAAGCCAGTCGGGAGACTGAGATCAGGTCTATCTGTTCTTTGCTCTTCTTTCAAAGAAGATTCTCTAGTTCAGATATAACTAAAGCTAGCAGCATATACGGTAACTGTATGGGAGTCGCCATTGTTGTAATGTACAGAAACTTCTCTCTGCGTCATACGTAGGACCACCCTTGTATTTGCCAGTACTTCCTCAATAAACCTAAAATGACACTCATTGACCCCAAGGTGGCACTGTAATAATGAGTTTATATTTTGGCAATTATCTCAAAAACGGCTTGGCCCAGAGTCAAAATTCTTTTATCATTTTAGTCTCTAAAATCATCTACATCTTTCCCGCCTTATACTGTCAAATTTAGTGATTTCTTTTCTCGGTTTTCTCAAAATCCTACTTTTGACATCTCATCAGGAACTGCTGGGAAGAAATGATCAAATCATGTACAAGTCTATTTCTGCTAGAAAGCATACCATCAGTTTACTATACTGGACAGGCGGGAGCGGCTATGCCTCAGGTGGTAGAGCGTTTAGTTTGATTCCAGACTCCCCCAGTCCAGTCGATACTAAACCCCAAGTTTATCTCAATGGCTGTGCCATCAATGTGTGAGCCTAATATCATCATGAGCGCTTTGGATATGAAGTGCTGTATCGCTCTTGATTAGCAGGTTGGCACCTTGCATGGCAACCTCTGCCATCAGTGTATGAATATGTGTGTGAATGTGAGTGTTGTGAGTGATCAGTAGACCAGAAAAGTGCTCCAGTCCATTTATCAAATCCAGGATTAGATTGTTTATATGGTAATTTTGGTGGTCTCTGGCTGTGTAGCCCTTTTGTGGGCCTATTTTTGGGGCGTGTTTTGTCATTTTTTTGAGAATGAGAGCCGCTCAGTGACAGACGTTCAGTGGTGCAGTACACACACTGAATCAAAGAACGATTGAGAGGAAAAAAAGCTGTAGAGCCAGTGTATTTTCACATCTCACTGTGGTGATTCCCAGAGGCTGCAAACAAGACTCTAACTCCGGGGAAGATGGGGACACAGCAGGGACAGCCAGCGACAAGAGAGTAGAGGCATGAAGCAGGTAGAGGAATGAGGAAGGTCGGGGGCATCAGAGAGGCAGCAACAGCAAGTAGAGCCAGAATATTTTTTTTATTTATTATTTATTGGGTGGGTGATTGTTGGAACAGTGGAAAGACTAGTTTGAATAAAGAGTGTTTTAAGTTTGCTTACATTTCACATTTGAACCAGTACCAGTAAGTCCAAACATCTCTCACTACTGCAGTGCTTGCATACTGTAATATTTCGCAATAAATAGTATGCAATTCACATACTATTGGTTTCAACAACCTCCAGACATCATAGCCTAAATCAGGAGACCAAAACTAACCAGGGCATCTTGGGATCTTCCCAATTACATTCATGATTTTGCATAGACATGCTAACATAATAATAACCTATTATTGGGAATCACAAGAAAGTTTCAGAGTGACAGAGATGCAGAACGTCCCTGTAACCAGAGTAACTTTCCTCTTTTCATGCTGTTATAAATTAGTTTTTCACTGTGTGAGAAAATGGACTTGGTGGCGTGAGACCCTGTTTCAAATGCATGACTAACACTAGTAAAAATGCTAAGCTAAAAAGTGAAAAAAGCCCAATTATCTCCAACAACAACTTATCCAACTAGCTAAATACTACTGTTACTAATTACCTGAAAATGTCGATGCCTGACTTAAAGTTTCGTCATACATGGAGGGTTCAACATTGGCTGCGGCTGCTTTGAGTGACTTTGGTTTTAGGCTCTGAGAAACTGTAACGTTACAATCTCCGCCTTTTAGTTATAGTTTGTGTTTGACCAGATGCTGTCTGGACCAGCTTTGCATTTTACATTACGAAATCTGGGTGCCCTGACTCACTGACATGAACAAGCTGCAGGGTTACGTTACATTAGTGTAACGTTAGTCTGGCTCTCTCTCTTTCTTTCTTTCTCTTTATACTGAAACTTATTCTCTCACCCAGAAGCTCACTCAGGTACCAAAAAGGGCCATGCATTCATACATTTTATTTCCTCTGTTTTCCCGTGATAACGATATAATTAATTTGAGATCTCGAGATAATGACTGTGATATGATAACTG